GTAAGATACATAATCATGCATATTTTGCTACTATCTATAGTTTTTCTATATTAAAATATGTTAATAGTACATTAACAAAATTACTATTTATTAATTAACACTGTAATTTGTACCTTAATATATTGCATGAATACTTATTATCATAGCATATTCTATTTAATATAATGCACAAAATAATATCTTATAAAAATGTTTCTTAATACAGATTAAATGTACGATTATGTATGTACAAATATATTGCTAATATATACTTACGATTGAGAGGAAATCACTTGTAGTAGATCTAAAACACGTCTTTTGGGAAGCATCCTTTGATATTTTACAGTATAAGTAATTAAAAAAAATGTAAAGATTCAAGGAAAGAAAAGTGCTTATAATTCCTAAGTTTTGTTCGACGTCCTACGCTCCGCTAAACATTCAAATCTAATTCTCTTATTGCTATCCATACATGTTTATAAATGATCGGATGCTACGTGTAAAGTAAGCAGTGCCGTATCAATTTTTATGTTCACATTTACACTGATAATAAATGTTCCAAAGAAAAAAATTTATGGAAAATATTTCGCTGCGCTATTTACATGACTGTATATACATTTATTGCATGATATATTACCTTTTTATAGATCACAGCTGGTACAAGTAATCGATAAAATATTTTTATAAGGCAATAAGAAAACAAAATAAAAATTCTGAGGCGTAATAAGTTTTATTTAGTTGTATCTAAAAAATACATTAAAAAGTTATTACATTATGACCAGATCAATCTCAGAGATCTTTTACAAGTTACAAGTAGATTAGGTTGTACGTCATCGATTTTTTTGTGTTAACTAACATCGATTATAATCGAGGTCAAAGATACTAACTGTTAAGATTACTTAAACTGCGAATTACACGCTTTACATCTTACCATATGCACATATATTAAGTTGAAACATGTTTAAAATAAACTGAATAATTATGTACCAGTTTAAATTGCAACTTTGTTTTAAATATGTATTCATTCATTCTGTTCTAACCCAAAACACGAGAAAGTTCCCCTTCCAGACATAATAAGCGCTAAGCAATGAGCAAGAATTACATCTGCACATCTTTTCTTTAATGTACAAACGGGTCTAGAAAGGGGAATCTTCTCTGCCATGCATTTATGTAGCGCGGAACGAACCAAGTATCAGTGCACGATGGAAATTTCATAATTCCACTTTCAACACATTTTGTTTAAACATCACACAATCAAACTTACACTATGCATATACATATACATACAGGCCATCCCCTTTTTCACTTGCATACGCGAGAATGCATGAGAATGGAACAACGTTACACGTATTATCACTACCCAATCATATGTCGATACATCTGCCATCTATGAGCTGTTGTTAAAAGTGTAAGGTTGTGTAAATGCTAGTAGAGGGCAGAAGGTACTTTTAACTGCCGCGAGAGAACTTTAAATTTGACGTAAGTTACGTCATTGTTTAAATAATGAGTTGTTTGTAAAAGGAAATGAATGTGGTGTTTAAGGGATAAATAAATAGATTGTAAAATGCTGTAAAACAATACTGGTATATTGTAACCTTTTGTAAAATACATTCTGTACACTTATCTTACAATAAATATTTTATTTTTTGATAAATAATTGCATTTCTTCATCTTTCCTGATGTTGAAGTTAATTCCTTTATTTCTATGGTGTCCTGGAAGATCAATCTGTAGTTCATACGAAAAGAACATTAATTTTTAAAATTTTTAATAAAAGTTATAAACAATTTCTGACTAATCCACTGAATACAATGATTAATTCAATGCAAAATTAATATATTAAGCTGTTTTATTAAGTTAAAGCGTGCAATAATTTTTTTTAAGGCTTTCAGTAATTATAACCAACTATGTAAATTGCTTTTTGACAGAAAATAGTAATTATTCTATAATTAAAGTAATTGAAAATAAGCCAGAAACTGTATTTTACTATTTACATAATTAGTAATGCTAAAGCAATGAAAATTGACTATAAGTATCAATTAAATACATATAATAAAGATGATGAGGACAACAATAGCGAAGAGAGACAACGAAAAGAATAGGGGAAAACAAGGAGAGCACTAAAGAAATGAGTTAGACAAGAAAAGGAATATGGTTAGGCAAGGATAGAGAATTTTTATGTAACGATCTGCTACGTTTTTATCGTGTCTGTTTTACCGATGCAAGATTGTTGAATATCACTTAAACTTCCAAAGTTTTATAGAAGTACATATAAGAAATGAAATATTTTACAGAATGTCATTTTTCAACTTCTAGATTCATCCCTCCCAATTTCATTAAAATCCTCGGAGGTCAGGTATGTAGTCTCCTTATTAGGTGCTTTGCACATCAATATTTCTCAAATATTTTATTTCACTGAAAAGTTACGAAATGAAATTACAAAATAATAAAAAATAAAAAGTAACACCGTCGCACCAAGATTCAGAGGGAATCTCCTGATTGCTACTCATGCGCTCAGGTTTCTGGATCGTCACGTGGTGACGTAATTGTTGGCGGAACGTGCCAAATAAGCTACGCACACGGGTAGAGCTACCGCTACACTTGCGTGAGAGCAGAGGACGGTATGTACATATGTATAATGGGAGACGGAGGTAGATCATAGTGGGGTAAGCGCTTTGGCCCACGTCCCACGATTCTGGCATCACTGCTAACGGCTCGTTACTAGGATCACAGAATGTGAACAGAGGTATTAGACAAGCAACGCACTGCTGTGCGAGAAGGATAGAGAGAAAACGTTTTCTATCGGTCAGCGTGCTGCTAAGCTTCGCCTCCCAGGCTAGAGATGCGCTATCAATAATGTTATCGATAAATATCGATAATATCGTTAAGATATCGATTAGTTAAATAAGTTAAATTAAATTTAGGTTTTGTTAATTTATTAATAAGATACACGAAATTGTATTTACACTTTGAAGGGAATGCATTTTGATAACTTTCTTCTCTGCTTCAAATTTCCAAACAAACTTTTTTCGTTCACGTTCTATCTATCCTATCGCTCTGGCTTTTTTTATTTTCATAGATATTTGAAATACAACATAATAAATAGAAAATGCGATCCAATTATATGGTGGAACACGGAGGGTGCTACAAATTTTCCCAATTATTGGGAATGACCATGAAATATTTATCAATACCAGCTACATACTTCTGTTCCCAGTGAACGTATATTTTCTAAAGCGGGGCTAATTGTCTTAGACAGAAGAACAAGCTTACAACCAAAATATATTAATATGCTATCAGTAATAAGTTGTAACAAAAATAGATAGATTTAATAAAAAAATTAATTAAAACACTATTTAATTAAATTTAATAAAAGCTAAAACTATATTCTACCCCTACACACCTTAACGATATCTTAATGATATTATCGATATATCGTTAAGTATCGATAAGATATCGATAACGTATCGATAATCGATAGCAGCAGCTCTATCTCAGATCCGAAGTCAAGTCGGCATGTGAAAAATCATTAATAATTCAATGTTTAACCTCTAACAATTTTTTCATGTAGTTTTGAAGGCCCTACGTCCTTTCAATAATTAATTGTTAACAATTTTTATGAAAAGTGGCAGGAACGATACGATAGCCCCTTACGGTTTTTCATTAATAGTCTTGCACCTAATGTATTTTTGTATCCAACGTTCTGTAATACCGATCGTGTAAAAAATCAGAGTTTCTGTTATGCCCTCTATGATATAAAGCGGTGAGTTTTGGAATTACATAAAATCCAACCATCAAGGATAGTAAAATCGACAAATATAAAAAATCTTCTTTGCTTAAATTTGCATATAAAGATACATATGTATAGTCCGACAAACCTAAAATAAAGTCTCTGACGTTACAGCCTGGCCAGATGAAGGCAAAATAGGCGGGTTAGGTCATCCCCACTACTCTTGGGTCTTACATTGCAGGCGCTTGAGGGGAAGTTGCGTTGTAGGTAAGTAGTTTAGACAAACGAATTTCAGTCAGCTGTCGATAATGTAACACGCTGATAAAAGAACGGTAAACTAAAAATTATTTGGTCGCCTTGTCCTCTTACTTACGTTGGCGTGTAAGACATATTTAACAGCGCAGACGTTGGTCACTAAAAGAACTATGTTTTTGTAACATTTTTTTTTATTTCGACCCATAGAATATACTACAATGTTTGG